TTTCCCTGGAAACTCAAAAGTGATGGACCTGGATGCAGTTTCCTGACTTTGAAAATGTTTAAATATTAGGCAAAATTACTTAATAGAGGCAGAACATCACCTTTATGGTACCACATTTGCTCAAATCTAAAATGACCCTGAATTTAAGAAGATCCCCTCCCAACATGAGATTTTATACATGGAAAATGTGTAACTGTTATTTTCCATGTATAGAATCTAATTATTGGAGGGTCCTCTTTAATCTGGGCCCCCACCACTGCAAAGGGATAAGTAGTGGGGAGGCAGATGGTGTGAGGAGATCAAGCAGCTTGCCCCCTGTTTGTGCCTCCCGCCTGCCTGTCCCTTCTCCCCACCAGCCTGTAGCCCTCAAACCCTGCCAGCAGCCTCTGCTTCCCCTTTCCCCCCATAGTGTCACTTTGTGCTGGCAGGCTGCATTCCCATTCTAGACTGGGGCACTGAGCACAGCCCCTGTAGCAGCTGTGCACGCTGCTCACCACTGCTTGGGGCCGAGCTAGGGCTGTACTCGGTGGGGAGGAAGCGAGGCAGGTGGGGGACGAGAGGCTGCATGGCAGGGAGCTAAGGAAGAGGCTACAGGAGGGAGATGGGGTGCAGAGCTGGTGGGGGTGGGAAGGCACCAACCCTGGCTAGGGGCTGGAGCCTGAGGCACAGCAATTGCTTCCCAATTCTGAGACAAGGGTCTTTTTTCCTGGCTGTTAAATAGGAGGGGGAAGTCCTTGTCTTATAATTTGGTATTGCCATATTTACTTGATTCTAACAGCCTCACCGTGAGACCCAGTACAGGGGACTGCTTACATGCATATTCTCAAAGTTCAAACAACATCATACTGAAGCCTCTGTCTTTTCTGCAGCAAGCTAGAACTCTGGATTTGAGGCCACTCTGATGCCAAGTAGCACTTCTATGACAACCGCTGCATTTCAAAATGCAGATTTCCTGCTACATTGTGTTCTCAATATGCTAAAGTGCATTGTTATAGTCACTTCAGGTTCTCCGGGTGGGAAAGCTAGCACCAGGAAGCAGTGTGTGACTGTAGGGTGTCTCTGTCCACATTCAGTGCAAACTCAGATTGACATTAAATGGACTAGGTCTAGCTGGGTGGGTCTAGCTCAGCCAGATTTCCTCATGACTGGTGTCACTCTATTCCATGCTTCTCAAATGGGAATAAAAAATGTTTCCCATCTCAGCAGGGGTGTTTTGAGGACCTTTCTGACAGGAAGAGGGACCAAACACATGCCTTGAGAGGCAGCTTTACTCTCCCAACTGGTGTTATCCATTATTTCAGTCTATCAGCAGACAAAACGCTCCAACTGATGAAGGCATGTGCTTTCTGCCAGCATAATCACTCTTTCAGTGGTGTTGGAAACTCCCTCCTCCCAACTCTAAACCCAGCCTTCCCACCTGCTCTGCCAATGGAGGGGGAGCTGGGACTGTTCAAGCAGCTGTAGTAGAAGGGCTCCCTGACAGCACTGGCGAGGGAAGGGGGTGAGGAACTGGTGCTGACTCCTACAGATCCCCGGGGTTACAAGTAATTGTACAGGTGTTACACGTAGTACAGTGCTGCCAAAAAGGTACACTTAGAAAATGTGAATATTTTGTAGTACTTTTAATGTCTCTTTAGTGCTCCAAACAGTGTGAACAGCTGTACGCTCACTTTTTGTAGCACTAGTAGGGCATATTTTAATGCAGTGCCTGCCTGGGGCCTGACAGAACTACAACTGGGTTGTGAGCCTATTGTGACCTCAATTTTGATCCATTTTGAAAAATGTTGTTCGCTTTAGTAAGCACTTGAGTGCAATAGGCATAAAGTAATGAAAGCTTAATCATTATTGCAGCCTCTACTCGTCAATCTTTTCTGCAAAGCAAGGGGAGTCTAGCATAATGAGGGGTTGAGATTGGTGAGAATTATATTTAGGAACTAACAGGTGGTCGTAGCCAAGTTTTCCTTCAGAAAAGCTGATTTAGCTCTGGCAGAAGGGATGATTATTATTAATTTACAATTGTTTGCAGAAAGGAGGTGAAGCTTTGAATCACGTCTATTCTTTGACTAGCGAGGACCATCAAAAGGGCTGTATTAGATGCTCATCTAATACCACTGGCAATTGCCCGTTTAAGAAAGTTAGCTTCAATAGATACACTTTCTTCATTCACATTACAGAAAAACTAAACAGCAACTAATTTACGGTTCTAGAACAGGTCAGGCCCACCGTGTTAGAAACAGCAGCCTCAAATATAAGCTTGCTTTTAAAAAAAAAACCAAATAATACTCACCTCTCCTGAAAAAAACCAAACAACAACTTACCCTCACAGAGGGATGAGCCAGACCCTTGGCCCTGCTACTGAGCTGCAATGCTTCTGTACTGCACATCTGTGCTTGCTGAAGGGCTTGAAAGCTGTTGCCTTTCTCCCCACTGCTCCCCTCCAGTTGAGGCACCTCTAGTAATTATTGCTTATAAAAAGACAAAGCAGAGTGAGAGGCAGAGAGGGTCAGGCTGGGCTACAGTTCTCTCCATCAACAAACATTGAAAGGATTTTCTACAGCTGTAAAGTTGTAGATTTAAACATCTTTGTTCAGTGGGGAAAGAAGTTTGAGCTTACCTGAGAGATCAACTCCAGTCTTCCCAAGCATTGCTGAAGGACCGGTAGACTGTGAGACTAGATGCTTTAATGGAGAGAGCCTGGTCAATGAGCCCTGCCTATGCTGTCTTTTTAACTCTAATTAAAATCCCCCTTTACCATCTTATACATTTACCCTCACTCTCCTGTGATAGCACTTTCCTAGGTTTTAGACACTCTAATGTATTTGAGTCCGGACAGAACCCAGAAGATTTGGGGGCCAGTGGGCATAAAAGACCCTGAGCTTAATCTCTCTTTGCTAAAGGTATTGTTCACCAAATGAAAAAAAATGAAGGAACCCTCATTTCCGGTGTGAAAAGTGAGGATCCCACATCCTCCCCCACATTCAAAATGTTACTGTAATAGCCCTGAGCTCTCCTGTAATAGTACTTCTGTTGTTCAGCTGTAACTAGTCATCTAACAATGACTACCAGGCAGGACTAGACTGAGAACAGCCAAGTTCAATGATGGCTCTACTATTAGATGTTGGACAGGTCACCTGGCCTTGGTCTCTCTGCTTCCCTTTCAAGCTGTCTGCCTATTTAGAGCCAAGATGCTTTGCCAGGGATGCTGTTTTTGTGTGCAGGTTTTTAAGACCTGGGTAGACAGAAGCCTTGGCTGGGATGATCTAGTTGGGGATGGTCTTGCTTTGAGCAGAGGCGTTGGACTAAATGACTTCCTGCGATCCCTTCCAAACCTCAGTTTCTATTTTTTTTTATGATTTTCTGTGTGTGCACAGAGTATGTAGCACTATGGGCTCCTAATTTCATTTAGACTGTGATGCAAGCAAACTCCATAGCATTTTGGGGATGAAAAATTCCCAATTTTCACTCCTTTTCCAGTAGGTGGAGGTACCGATCCATTGTACTTATACAGAAAGCACACAGAGATGCAATTTGTGTTAAAAACTTAATAGAAAAATTCTTGACAGAGTTTTCTGTGTTCTATAGGTTTTTTCACAGAATTTCTCACTTAGATATTTGCTTTAGCTTAATGGAAGCTATTAAAAGGCACTTTCTGTTCATAAGACTCTATAAGATTTCTCTATTTATGAAACAAGGAATGTAGCCTAATGTCTGTAGAAAGAAAGGAATGTAGTCTATCCTAATGCATCAAGTTCTGTATATTTGCTTTCCTTGTACTAAGTATACGTTTAGACAAGCCCCTGTGTCGCTGCCCCCACCCAATGCACTAGTCATTTGGAAAAGTTCTCATTCAGTTATTTACACACACCCCCTGTGCGCTTCTGCATTTGCAAGAAATGACACTTCTTTAGAAAGTCTCATTTCAGTCTGCCCACCATATATTCTTCTTACCACCGTGTCACTTCTAAATCGGAGGCATAAGAGTAAAAAGTAGGGGTGCACCAATAAATATTTTTTGAGCCAATACTGATGGCTGATTATTAACAAGCCATATTGACCGATGCCAATCCAATTGCCAAGATGCATCCCAGCAGCTTGGAGAGCAGCATTGGGCTGGTAAGTCTGGGGGGAAAGGGGTGGGGGGGAAGGAGTGTGGGGGTGCAGATGGAGGCCCCTATGGTGACAGAGGGGCTGGGGCTGGGGCAGGTGTTGCTCAGCCAGGGCAGGGTGCAGGATGGAGCCTTGAGCGGCTCACTCAAAGGTGGGGGCAGGGGGAGCCAGCTGGCACACCCCGGGGGAGGCATAGAGGGGCACGTGCCCCCTAGATCTGTGTGCAAGGAGAGGGCAGGCTGCTGCTGCAGGTTGGGGCCAGACGCAGCGCTGGGCTCTTCCCAGTGTGGGGGCAGTGGGCTGGGGCTGCACTTGGGGCAGGCAGCAGTGGTGCTGGGAGGGGGGGTATGGGGTAGTCTGTGGACACCCCAGAATTCACCGTAGGCCACCCCTGAAACCCTCCCAGCACCGCCACCCCCCACCCCCGCATGCAGCCCTAGCCCTTGCCCAGCCCCCCTACCAGGAAGAGCCAAGCACTAGCCTTGCCCCATGCCAGCAGCAGCAGTCTGTCCTCACCCCCTGCACAGATCTGGGGGGTACGTGCCCCTCCATGCCTCCCCCAGGGTGCACTAGTGGTGGGAGCCACCCCCTTCTCTGTGCCCCCAGGCAATCCATTCACTGCTCCATCCCACACCCCACCCTGCCCCAGCTGGGCATTGCCTGCCCCTGTCCCAGCCCCACACCCTCCCTCACCACAGGGGACTCGATTTGTCCTCCCCCCAGCCTCTTCCCTCTCCCCACCCCTTTTCCCCCACAGACTTACCAACCGGACACTCTCCAAGCTGCTGGGCTATACGCATTCATCGGCAACATTATCAGCCACATCAGCCAAAAAAGATGATTGCCAATAATGTCTACTTTGCTTTTATTGGTGCCAATACAATATGAACCAATGTATCAGTGCACCTCTAGTAGAAAGCAAACCTGAATGTGTGGTTTCAAGAAAAAAAACCTCATGTTAATTCCACAGAGACTTTTCAGAGTTAGCTTGTTTGCTTTCATCACGCATTCATAGTACACATAAAATAGTTGCATAGGAAACTGTTCCTCCTTTCCCTGGAAGGCAGGCTCAGGAGTAGTGTGTCCAATTTGCACACCGGTGTGTTTGGTTTGGGGCTTTTTTTTTTTTGGACCATGACAGTCTCATTTCTGTATGGAAGTTCAAATATTGTATTCAAGCTCAATTGATAAGCAGAGAGAACTGAAATGTTGGTTCTTAAGTTTAAGATTTGTGAGAAGAAAATATAGATGACAAGCAGAAATTAGACAGAGAAGCAGACAATCCAGTTTAAACAGGACAGGATCTGATTGCATGTCATTGCTAACTGCAGGTGAAATAACACTTCTTTCTTTTAGTAGGATTGGAGTCTTATAGACATAATGGTCTAAAAATATGCGAGAGGTATGGGCTTTTTTGCAAAGGGAAGATCTTTTATTGGACCAACTATATAGGTGGGAGAGATGTTAGACAAGCTGTTGGGCACAAAATGCCCTTCTTCAGGTCAGAGAAAGCAGCACACATTTCAGACAGTGCTGCTTATATTGTTTTGGGGAGACTAACAGTATTTTCCTCCAGAACTGTATCCATGAGCATACTGTACCCTGTCCCAGTTCTAAATTCCTCTCCTTCTGGTACTTAAAACCGTATGTAGCATTTTTAAAAGCTTCTAAGGGACCTTTAGGAACATTAATGATTTGATGATTAAAGTCCCAGTCAGAAAAATACTTAGTCACCAACCCATTAATTGGCAATGTCAACTCTCAGGCATTGCCTCCCAATAGAAGCACCACTTGATATCGATATAGTTAACATATAACAGTACAAGCCTAGCATGGACGCAGCTACAGTAATAGCAAAAATGATTATATGCATCTAACCTGTTCACAAAAGGCAGCTGGGGCACTATACAATACACCCTTAAATCAGGTAAACCATAGTCACACTAGGAGGACACTAGTATATCAGTTAAAACAGTCTCAATTGGCTGTTAACTGTACAACAGCTGTGTAGCCTGGGCCCAAGTTTATCCAAGCACTGCATTAAAAATAATTCACATAGCATTGTAAAGCAACAGATTCCTTTATGAATAGTTTAAGACATTCCGGCTCCTCAGCATGAAATTGCAGTCTGGACAAGACAAGACTGTTCACAGAAGGAAAGAGACAACATTGGAGAGAAAGCAAAGTGGATTTTGGGTGGGAATAGAAAAATTGTTCTTAGTCCTCTACACTACATTTTCTTCTTTCCAAAGGGAGACCATACAGATACTGGGGTTCCTCTGCCAAGGTACTGGGCAATCTGGTCCCGATCTGGCACCTGCAAGCATCTGTACTGGAGTCAATGAGACTGCTTAGACTCCAAGTATGTGTGCGGTTGCTAAGCAAGAGCGTACAACTTGGCATTCATAGAAGAAGCAGTTATGGTAGCAATTACAGCACTCATCAAACCTTCAGTTCTTACAACTACCAAAATCACTCACTACCCAGTTTTCCATGTCTGAAAGATCAGTTCAATTAATGTTTGAAAAGTGCTTGATAATTACTGTTTACTCTGACTTTAAGTGGCATTCTAGTCTGTGGCCTAAGTGACAGTATTATATGAAGTCCTTTTAATGAAAGAATTATTCTCTAGCTACGTCTGACTTCCAGATGCTTCTGCAGTACTCCAGCTTAACCAGTCATTGTGTTGGGCTGGTCTTTCCCCATTTATTATCAATAATAAAAGGAAGGGACCAGGGAGGTTTTCTCCACTCTAAAAAAAATTGTACCTAATCTCATTTATCTATGCTGTGGTGAGAGATGCTCCCCCATCAGCCAAGTTTTATGGACTCTCTTCCCACCTGTGTGAACATTTTTGGAACAAACATTCGCCCCTGGTGCAGGGATGTGAGAATACAGTGGAAGGACAACATTATTGGGAAGCAGTTTCTCTTTGCATCACACTACTCCTCTTAGTCTTCAAGCACGAAGAAAAGCCCATTACGTTACAACTTCTATGTCGATTTTATAAGCATGACATTCATTTACCTTCTCATCTTGACACTTGTAGCATAGCTTCTGGGCAGAAGCTTATGGCTGCTGAAGACAAAAAAAAAAATAAAAAAATCAGTTTTTCAATGTGAAACACCACGTAAGAAAGGAGTCCCCTTGACAGAAAGGGTAATTCTGCTGTGAGCTTGCAGGCAGGGCTTTTCCTTGCTGTCAAGAAAGAACAGGGCATGAACCAAAGGTGCTATGGAAACAGAAAAATAGGGCTGGAAGGGACCTCACGAGACCACAATATGCAAAACACCAGCTCAAAGCAGTAGCACCCAAATGTTTGTCTAACTTGCACTTAAAAGTTTCTAATGATTAAAAATTCTACAAACTTTCTGGGGAATCTTTTGCAGGACTTGGCCATGCTCATAATTAAAAAGTCCTTCCCAACACACTCTAAATTCTCCCTTGTTTCAGTTTAACCTCACCACTCCTTGACCTTTGGAAAACAATTAATTGACAACCTCTTTATAACAACCATTTTGTATTTGGAGACCTATTAAATCTCCCTTCCCATCAACCATCTTCTTATCCCACTGTGGCTGCAGAAGCAGCTGGGAGCTCCAGCTTCTGTCATATACTTCATTTCCCCCTCCACTTCATTACTGTGGTAGAGCCACCAAACTGCTTTATTGTCAACCCATGGCTTGCACTAGTGCACTACCCGTCCCCAGCTACTTAGAAGTTGAACAGCCCTGCTTTAAAACAACTGCAATCCTACCTAGGCCAGGTTCATCCACAAAACACACTGCATACACCTGATTCCATCCTCCATGTCATGAGTGAACATGCTGACCAGTAAAGAATTTTATACCCACGCAGAAAACTAAGGATCACAGAGTATCCTTAGCATCTATCAGTACAATCACATTGGGCACTTAGTGGTTAATTTCTCAAAGAAGCAAAAGCAAGGGGGCAGAACCCAGTCCACCTACTGGGAACCTAGGTGAACTTACTGCCTGCTTGTGAGCCTATTCCATCCTAGTCACCTGTCTGAAAGAGCATTGACCTGCTATGCTTTGTAACAGGGCTTCATGTTAGCCTTAAGGTCACAGAAAGCAGAGAGCAGGATGAGGCTCCATCTACCTTTTGCACCGACTGTTTTTCAGGGACTCGAATAGAGTCCAATCGGATGACGCTTCAGTGCTGAAGTCCACTGCAGCATGTGTGCCATGTAGCATACAAGGGCTGGAAGCAGGGCTGCAAGTAAGGAGGGGAGGGGAGGGGAGGACCAGGCCAGGGCCTGCGGCTGGCACGGGTCATTGCAGATCCCTAGGACTGTGCTGCCCCAGCTGGAGCCTGGGCAGTGTGGTCCAGCAGGAAATATCCCCACACTGATAGCAGGGGCCAGGGGAATGACAAACCTGCATTGCCAAGTCAGAGTGAAGAGGGGAGGAGAAGAACGGAACAGCCGTGTGCCACCAAACCAGGGGGATGGGAGGTCAGGGGGAAGACGCGTGCTTTCTGGCTGTAGGAACCAGGAGCAGGACACAGAAGCAGCTATATTCGAGTCTGCCTCCCTGGGACAGGTAAGACTGACCCCTCTCCTTTCTTTTCTCCACTTCCCCAGCCCCCCACCCCTTGCAACACACCTCAGGGTACAGGGAGGTTTGGCCCAGGCAGGCACAAAACTTATTTATGCTTCTGCCCAGGACCAGCTCGGCCTGGCAGTCCCAGCCTGGGACCTGCACACCCACTGCGAGCTCTGGGATGGGAAAGCCCAGTTAGACCAGCCTTGTCATCAACCCTTGCCAAGTCCTGTGCCAGGTGTCCCCAAAAACACAGCGGGGCAGACCTCCCGTGCCTCAGTGCTGCCCCCTACCATGTCCTCTGTCCCAGGTGCCCCCAGTTATACCCAAACCTGGGTGTAAACTGGGGGTACTGCCCACAAGGAATCCTACAGGCTGGGGAACTCCCTTCTCGTCAGTGCAGAGGCAGAAAAGGATCTTGGAGTCATTACTGATGCCAAAATGAACATGGGACGACAGTGTAGGGATGTGGTCAGGAAGGCCAACTGTACCAGGAATGCCAACTACACTTTGTCATGCATCCACAGATGTATCTTGAGCAGCGGCAAGGAGGTGATCCTCCCCTTCTATGCGGCACTCGTCAGGCCACAGTTGGAGTACTGCATCCAGTTCTGGGCACCGCACTTCAGGAGGGATGTGGACAGCATGGAGGGCCACCCGCATGACCGGGGCAGCAGGGCAGACCCTACAAGGAGAGGCTAAGGGACCTGAACCTGTTCAGCCTCCACAAGAGAAGGCTGAGGGGGGATCTAGTGACCTGTTACAAACTAGTCAGAGGGGACCAGCAGGCATTGGTGGAGTCCCTGTGCCCCCGAGCACTACCAGGAGTGACTAGAAATAACGGTCACAAGCTGGCAGAGGGTAGATTCGGACTAGACATCAGGAGGTGCTACTTCACTGTCAGGGGGGCTAGGATCTGGAACCAACTTCCAAGTGAAGTGGTGCTGGCTCCTACCCTGGGGGGCTTTAAGAGGAGGCTGGATGAACACCTGTCTGGGGTCGTTTGACCCCAGTACTCTGTCCTCCCATGCCCAGGGGTCGGACTTGATGATCTGCTCAAGGCCCTTCCGACCCTACCAACTATGAAACTATGAAACTATATAAAACAGCAGCGGTTGCAGAGCCAGGGAAGTATTAACCTGGCTCCTGGTGGTGACATCTCCTCATTGAACAGCATCTTGCCACTGCTCTGCTCTGCACCACCAGAAATTTGAGCCCCATCCCTCCCTTCTGGCACCCCAGGGCACAAGCTCTAAGAGGTGTGCCTGTGGGAAGCAGGGATCAGAGTGGCACTAGGGGAGAGCTTCACTTCTGCCAGATCTACCCAAAGAAGTTGGCTACCACTAGTCTAAATGAAACTACCGTAAGTGTTTGGATCATCATGGGCAAAGATTAGTCCTCAGTGGGTCCATGTCTAATTGGGAAGAGGAATCAAGTGAGCTTACCTAGAAGTCTGGTCTGGATCCAGTATTGTTCAATGTCCTCATTAATGATTTGTAGGATGGGATTGAATGCACAATTAGCAAATTTGCAGATGACAAGAAGCTGGGCAGTCATAGACACTTTCATGGATTTTTTGAGGATTCAGAATGACCTTGATAAATGGAAAAATGGCTTGAAATTAATTGAATGAAATTTAATCAAGACAAGTGCAGAGCCTGCCACTGAGGACAGAACAATTGCATGAACACAGACTGGTGAATGACTGGCAAGGCTCCAGTACTGCAGAGAAGGACCAGAGTACTACGGTAGACCATAAATGAATCTGAGCCAACTGCTCTGAAGATGAGCCAAAAGCAGGCTTGAGTTGCAAAAAAGCCAATAGCTTTATTAATAGAAACATTGCTTACAAGTCAAGGGAAGGGATTCTTCCGCTCTATTCAGAACTGGTGAGGCCTCACTTGGAGTACCCAGTCCAGGTTTGGGTACTGCGCAACAAAGATGTGAACAAATTGGAAAGAGTCAAGAGAGCAACAAAAATGACTAGATGTTTCAGACACATGATTAGTGAGGACAGGCTGAAAGAACATGGATTATTAATCTGGAGAAGAGAAAATTGATGGGGAGGGGATGAAGATTTGAAAAGTCTTCAAACACTTGAAGGGGCATTATAAAGAAAATGGAGACAGACATTCTCTGTGCCTGCAGCAGACAGGAAAAGGAGCAAAGGTCTTAAACTGCAGTTAGAGAAATTGAGGTCAATTAAGAGACTGTCTCGCTACAAGGGTGGTTAAGCATTAGAACGTAGACTACCTAGATTGTGGACTCTCCACTTCTGCAAGTTTTTAAGAGCAGGATAGACAATCACTAGGATGGCTTAGAACAGTGATTCTCAACCAAGGTGGTGTGGCACCGTGGGGTACCTTGATATCCTTTCAAAGGTTTCACAGGGTGCCATGCAGTGTTAGCACTACTAGCTGTGCAAACATGATTCACAAGATAACCCCAATGATTTCAAATACGAATCCGCAATGTTAAAAAGCATCTGCCCTGTTGTGGTCTTCTTTGCAACAGATGAATTGTTCTATTATCTTTCTATAGTAAAAAAAAACAAGTGAAAATTAGAAGCTGGCATTTTCCAAAGAGTGCCTTGAGTCTAACAAAGTTGAGAACCACTGGCTTAGGCCCCTACCAGATGTGCAGGTAAAGGCACAATAGGATCTGATGCGCAATCCACACAATCACGCTTCCTGCCATGCCACACATGCATAGCAGGAGGGGGCATTGTGGGATCAAGCATCAGAACCCATTGTGCCTTATTGCCAGTGCAGGGGGAGCCCAGGATCATGATCAGCTGATAGGACTCCCATCCACGGGAGAGCATGGTGCGCCTCTACACCTGTGAGCCCTACCAGCTGCAGGCTCCCAGTCTTGGGGTGCACCTGGCCACACATTTAATTCATGGTGTCATAGGAACCAGCCACAACATTATTACACATTTTTTTGGAAAATAACTTTGTGGCTTATTCCTTGTTTTATGACACCATTAATGTGAGGCCAGGTTACAACTTAACATGAGATTAACTGGTCCCTTCCAGCCCTACTTTACTATGCTCATCACGTCAAGGTGACAGAGGACAGTACCCCATTTCTTTGTAGATCAAAACCACTTCACTGCAAAAGCTATAGCCACAGAATCAAGCCCTCTCCACAAAGCTAGGAGGTGACAGAGCTGAGACGGCCTTGGCTACTTTAATTCTCTCCCTTATGCATGTATATTAGGATACTTTCATTAATTACATGATTACATGCTGTTTTTCCACAGCCCCCCTGCCTGATGCAATATACAGAAGAACATATTTTTTGGGGAAGGAATAAAATTTTGTAGCAAATAAGACACTTCTCTGCAGGATCTTTGCTTCACTGGTGGCAGAAATTCTGTAGGACAAATCAGGAAATTAGAGGAAGGAGAATCATGGTCCAAGCAGTCAAACCCTGGAAATCTGTTTTTTAAGTTTTCATGTAGTGCAGTGCAAATCTCAAATTAGAATATGATCCTGCCACTAGGGACAGAGGGAGGGAGGAAGTCTTACTTTGCTAGACAGCAAAGAAACATTATAGAATCATAGTTGGAAGGGACCACAGGAGGTCATCTAATCAACTCTCTGCTCAAAGCAGGACCATCCAAGCAAAGGCTTTGTGTAGCCAGGTCCTAAAACCTCCAAGGACAGAGAGTCTACAACCTCTCTGGGTAACCTGTTCCACTGTTTTACTACCCTTCTAGTGAGGAAGTTTTTCCTAATTGCTAACCTAAACTTCCCTTGCTGCAACTTGAAACCATTACTCTTTGTTCTGTCATCTGCCACCACTGAGAACAGTCTAGCTTCATCCTCTTTGGAACAGCCCTTCAGGTAGTTGAAAGCTGCTATTAAGTCCCCCTGCACTCTTCTCTTCTCCAGACTAAAGCCCAGTTCCCTCAGCCTCTCTTTAGAAGTCATGCTCCCCAAGCCCCTAACCATTTTCATTTCCCACCACTGGACTGTCTCCAATTTGTCCATATCCTTTCTGTGTGGGGGGGGCCCCAAAGCTAGACACAGTACTCCAGATGTGGCCTCACTGGTGCAGAATAAAGGGGAATAATCACTTCTCTTGATTTTCTGGCAACGCTTCTACTAACGCAGTCCAGTATGTCATTAGCCTTCTACACAACAAGGACACACCATTGGCTCACATTCAGCATGTTGTCCACTGTAACCCCCAGATGCCTTTGAGCAGAGCTGCTGCTTAGTTATTCAGTCCCCACCCTGCCCTGTTCCAACCTCCTATACCAGGTCCCACTCACTGGGCTGCAGAGGTGGCTCCTGCCTGTGCTGGTCCAGCCAGGATGTAGTGCTCTTCCCACTGTGGGTGAACAGCTATGGTGGGGGAAGGGTGTACATGCTCCCCCCCATGCCCCACAAACACACACACACACACCACATACCCACCTTCTGCATCACATACCCACCTTCTACCCCTTCTGGGGCCTAGGGGTGGGGGCAGCAGGCCAGGAGTGAGGGGCACCAGCAGGGCTGGGAGGGTGAGGGGATGTGGGTTGGGAGTGAGGGGCACCAGTAGGGCCAGGGGGTCTGTTTTCCACTTAATTTTTTTACTGGGCTTGAACTGGCCATCAATGTTTACAAATGGGTCCTGGTGCAAAAAAGGTTGAGACCCACTGAATTAGACATTGAGCCATTGATTACTACCCTCAAAGCCTGATGATCCAGCCAGTTTTCTATCTACCATACAGTCCATTCATCCAACCTGTACTTCCTTAGCTTGCCTGGGAGAATGTTGTAGGAGACTGTATCAAAAGCCTTGCTAAAGTCAAGGTATTTCACGTCCACCAGTCTCCCTGCATCCAGAGCCAGTCATCTCATCATACAAGGAAATCAGGCTGGTCAGGCATGATTTGCCTTTGGTGAATCCACATGGACTGTTCCTAATCATGTTCTTCTCCTACAAGTGCTTAGAAATGGATTCCTTGAGGATCTGGTCTATGATTTTTCCAGGGACTGAGGTGAGGCCAGCTGGTCTGTAGTTCCCTGGATCATCCTCCTTTCCTTTCTTAAAGAGGGACACTATGTTTGCCCTTTTCCAATCACCCAGGACCTCTCCCAATTGCCATGAGTTTTCAAAGATAATGGCCAGCAGCTCTGCAATCCCATTAGCCAACTCTCTTCGCACCCTTGGGTGCATTGCAACCCACCCTATGGACTTGTACACATTCAATTTTTCTAAATCATCCCTAGCCTGTTTTTTCACCACTGTTTGCTGCCCACGTCCCCAAACTGTGCTGCCTGGTGCAGTAGTCTGGGAGCTGACTTTGCCTGTGAAGACTGAGGTAAAAAAAAAGGCACTGAGTTCGTCAGCCTTTTCCACATCATTTGTCACTAGGTTGCCTCCCCCCTTCAGTAAGGGACCCACACTTTCCCTGATCCTCCTCTTGCTGACATGCTTAGAAATCCTTCTCCATACCCTCCATGTCCTGCAGCTCCAACTGCGCTTTAGCCTCCTTCCTGATGTCATCCCTGTATGCCTGAGCAATACTCTTACACTCCTCACTAGTCGGTTGTCCAAATTTCCACTTCTTGCAAGCTTCCCTAAACTCGATCATCTCATGTTCACTGCTACCCAAGGTGCAACCCACTTACTTCTACATTCCCCACCAAATCTTCCCTGTTTGTGAGCAGCAGGTCAAGAACATGGCCCCTAGTTGCCCTCCCAACACCTGCACCAGGAAGCTGTCCCCAAAATCTTCCTGGATTGCCAGTGCACTGCTGTATTGCTCTCCCAGCAGACATCAGGGTGATTAAAGTCACCCATGAAAACCAGGGCCTGTGATTGGGAAACTTCTGCTACCTGTTTGAAGAAAGCCTCATCCACCTGGTCTGGTGGTCTATAGCATATACCCACCATGACATCACCCTTGTTGATCTCCCCTCTGACCCTAACCCAGAGACTTTCAACAGGCCTATCTCTAGTTTCATACTGGAGCTGTGAGCTGCCATACCGTCCTTTTACATACAGTGCAACTCCTCCTCCTCTTTTCCACCTGTCTTTCTTGAACAGTTTGTACCCATCATGACAGTGCTCCAGTCACGCAAGCTCCCATCAAGTCTGTTATCCCTATCACATAATAGTTCAATGACTGTGCAAGGACTTCCAATTCTTCCTGCTTATTTCCCAGCCTCTGTGCATTCATGTTCAGACACTTGAGTAATTAGCCAATTGCCCTTTTTCAGGGAAAATGAGAAGGCCTCCCCTGTTGCCCCCTCCTGCTTGTGCTTCCATCAGGCCACACACTTCCCTACTTAACTCAGGACTTTGGTCTCCATCCCCCAACAAACATAGTTTAAAGCCCTCCTCAAACACTGAACTGTTCCCGTCCAGATTCTGTTGGGAACGTTCTCTAGAGCAGCTGTTCTCAACCGTTTATATTCAGGGCACTCCTCAGAAAATGGCAGCTTGTAGCTTTCACTCATTTTTTGACTACAGAAAAATAATAGAGCAATTCTTCTATTGCAAAGAACTCAAAGACCACAAGAGGTCAAAATGCCTTTAAGACGTGAATTCCTAGTCATAATCTCTAGGTTTATCTTGTGAATCATGTTTGCATACCTAATGGTGATGCTGCCTGGCACCCTGCAACACCCACAAAGCACCGCAGGGTGCCACAATCACTGCACTAGTGTTTACAAACTGTTCCACCCAGGCTTGCTTCACTCTAATCCCTTTGGCCCATTCCACTGCCTACCTCCTGCTACTGTACTTCCCCTATCACTCCCCTGCTGCTCCCCACCCAGCCCACTGCAGTTTCTAACCCAAGAATTTCTTACCACAGGGGCGGACAATTATTTCAGGTGGAGGGCCACTTACCAAGTTCTGGTAAGCTGTCAAGGGCCACCTGGGTAGCCCCACCCCTTGACAGGTGCCCCACCCCTTGGTCACCATCTTGTGACCAGAAGTCCTACCCCTAACCCCTGACCTTTGCCACCAGAAGTCCCTCCCCTTGCCCCCAGAAGTACTCCTTTCAGCAAGGGGTTTTATCATCTTGGAACCATAAAAATACCAAATTATATTCTAAAAAGTGACCATCTACAACATTCATTAATTTGATTTTGAAAAATATTTTTGTCCTCATTTACATGTTTGTGTAGTGTACGTAGAGGTGACTGCACAATAACTTAAAATGAAGTCTTAAGGTATTGTGAGATGTGGGTATGGGGGGAGGGCAACCGGGGTTTGTTTATGGCAGTGCGAGGGGTGTGCATGTGGGACTCACCCTATGAACATACACACACACACACACACACACACACTCTGCCCCTGTGCC